GGTTAGAGTATTCAGCTAAGACCTGGGAGACCAGGATTCGTATCCCCACTATGCCATGGAGTTTGGGGGTGAGCTTGGAGCAGTCACTGAATCTCAGTCTAACCTACCTTACAGTTTTGTTGCAAGAATGAAATGGGGAGCAGGAGAACTATGTATACCACCTTGAGATCCTTGGAGGAAAGGTGAGATATAAATGCAATAAATAATGAAATATACTATTGAACTATCTAGTTTGGTACTGTCCGTGGTGCTGAGTGGTGTCTACTCCCATGTGACTATGCATGGCATTGTAGTGATGCAATCCTAGTTTATTTAGCAGAGGCTTGCCTAATAATTCGAATGTCATGCTTTTTCCGGGGTGCATGTGTAGGTGATACATAAACAGACAGATCGTCATGGGCCAGTAATGCATTTTGGGACTCTCCTTAGAGGACTGGCAATGGGGGGTTGTCATACTGAGCTCCTTGCACTTCAGAATTATCACTATAGCACTGGGCTGTAGTTTGAGGAACGGCTTAACAAATGAACATTTGTTCAGTCCCGTATTAAAAGCACTATGATACCATTTGATGGCCCTCCATAACGGATTCTTTAGCCATGATTCCTGCGTTGACATTTGGGGGTCTCTTTCATCTCTCCAGTTCTGTGATTCTACTATTTTATACAGTCATGACTTCCCCCAAAGGATTCTGGAAGCTGTATTCTGTTAAGGGTTCTGAGGGTGGTGTAGTGGTTTAGAGTGTGGCAGTAGAACCTGGGAGAAGGGAGTTCAAATCCCTGCTCAGCTATAGAGCTCACTGGGTGGCCTTGGGTCCTATGTATACTTATTTTGGTATGAGTCCCATTGGGCCAATGGCCCATCTGGTCCATCCCTCCTAATATACACACTTGTGTATGCAATTTTGCCTAGTACAGTGGTACCTCGGGTTACAGACACTTCAGGTTACAGACGCTTCAGGTTACAGTCTCCACTAACCCAGAAATAGGACCTTGGGTTAAGAACTTTGCTTCAGGATGTCGGAGCCAGCCATCACAAATGGCGCAGTTTAGCATAAAATAAAGACACAGAGAGCCAGCAATATTTTCAGGATGGTATGAGCAGCTCCTTTCGAACTTCTCTCTCCCCCGTCACTTTTATTATCCTTTTCTCTCTCCTCTCGCATGGCCGTTTGCCAATGTCTCACATTACCTACATCCGGTCATGGCTTTAACCCACCCATCGCCTTATAGGGTCATGCACTTAATACACTGCAAGGCACGGACATGCAGGTCACTGAGGTCAGCGAGGCACCAGGTGGCGCTACAAGCCTTTTCCATGACTTCCTGGCTCCCACATCAGGATGAGAACAGAAATCATGTGGAGGCCCCATTAGCTAAAGTGGTACCTCAGGTTAAGAACAGTTTCAGGTTAAGAACGGACCTCCGGAATGAATTCTTAACCCGAGGTACCACTGTACACACTTTTTTCCAAAGCATTTTTTTTCTTAAATGTAATGCATTTATTATTATTTTTTTTACAATTTTCACTCACTTGTTGTTTTTGTTGTGATTAATATTAATAATTACCGTATTTTTCGCCCTATAGGACGCACTTTTTCCCCTCCAAAAATGAAGGGGAAATGTGTGTGCGTCCTATGGGGCGAATGCAGGCTTTCGCTGAAGCCTGGAGAGTGCACCGACCCCTCTCGCTCTCCAGGCTTCAGGAAGCTCTGCTCAACCCTCGTGAGACCGGCGCGACTTCGCGCCGGTCTCACGAGGGTTGAGCAGAGCTGCCTGCAGTCTCGGGCTTTGCGCAGCTCTGCACAGCCCTCGGGAGCCACGCCGGGCTCCCGAGGGCTGCGCAGAGCTGCCTGCATTCTGAAGCCTGGGGCACGCTGAAGAGCGCGCCCGGGCTTCGTGCAGCTCTACGCAAGCCTGGGGAGACCGGCGCAACTTCCTGCCGGGCTCCCTAGGCTTGCAGATAGCAGGCTGTTCTTGGGGCTGGGGTTGGGGGAAGCTCGGGCTTCCCCCGCACCAGCCCCTCACCTGGGGGGGAAATAAAAAAAAATTCTTTATTCCCCCCCCCCCAAAAAAAAACCTAGGTGCGTCCTATGGGGTGAAAAATACGGTAAATTTGTAAAAAAATTTAACTTAAATGTTAAATTAATTTTAAATTAAATTTGTGTACCGCCCTATACCCACAGGTTTCAGGGCAGTTCACAAGATAAAATCACAATATGAAAACATAAAATACATAATAAAAAATAAAAACAGGAACAATTCAATGCTCTCGCCCTCCCCTATGCATTTTAAAAGGGCGTCAGATGTCAATCGACCAAAGGCCTGGTTAAAGTGGAATATTTTTGCCTGGCACCTAAAGGTGTACAGTGGTACCTGTTGGGATACTGCCAGGGGGACATGTGCCATGAAGCCCCCACGCCGTCTCCGGACGATCCATTGATCTCTCGTAGAAACGCAGTATCAGTCAGTTAGCGACAGGAGCCCCAGAAATAGCTTGCCACATTCCAGAGCTCATGCACGCTCTGTCAGCAGATACGTACAGCGAAAGACGCACTCAGGAGAGCATATTTACAACTTTATTCAGCGTTGGTCAGAACAAAGAGAAAACATGACTGCCTGCTTTACTGTCTCAGGCACAGAGAGAGAAATGAAAGCAATAGACAAAACATATACTTCCTGTGAAAAGGAAATACGCAGACTCTGTGACTCACAAAGCCTGCTCCCTTTTAAGGTGGAACGGAAATATCCTAACAGTACCTCGGGTTACATACGCTTCAGGTTACATACGCTTCAGGTTACAGACTCCGCTAACCCAGAAATAGTACCTCGGGTTAAGAACTTTGCTTCAGGATGAGAACAGAAATTGCATGGTGGCAGAGTGGTGGCAGTGGGAGGCCCCATTAGCTAAAGTGGTGCTTCAGGTTAAGAACAGTTTCAGGTTAAGAACAGACCTCCGGAATGAATTAAGTACTTAACCCGAGGTACCACTGTATAATGAAGGCGCCATGCATTTTAATCCACACATCACTTGCATCCCGTTGCATTTCTGCGCCTATTTTTGTTGTTGGATAACTCAGTATCTCAGCCTAACCAACTTCACAGGTTTGTTATAAATAATGATTGATTGATTGATTGATTGATTGATTGATAAATAACTAAATAAATTCCCAGGGATCTCTGGAAATTGTAGCTCTGTGGGGGGGAAGGGCGATCCCCTGACAATTCTCAGCACCGTTCTACTGCTCCCAGAATTCTTTGCAGGAAGCCATGTTAAGTCTGTACTGAGAATGAAACCATAGAAAGAACCATATAGCACCTACTGTGCAAGTTTTTAAAGAGACCCTGAAGACTTCTTTAAAGATCATCATCAAGCATCTTTTAATATGTGAAACTGTGATGTTTTAAGTGCTGCTGTTGTAATGTTTTAATGCTTTCAGATGGTGGTTTTATTGATTTTTGAAGTATTCCAACATAATACATCAAAAATCAATACAACCACAAACAGTAAAAACAAAAATGGGGGTGGAGGGGGGGGAGATTAGATTTGTTTGTTTCTTGTCACTAAATTGCTTCTGAATTATTGGCAGAAACCTGTGGGCCACTCCAAACATCTTGACAGGCCCTGTCCGGACTGTGGGCTAGCAACCCCTGTATTATGTCACCATGTTTGGACAGTAGTGCCCTGAAAGGTGGGCTATAAATATTTGTAATAAATAGTCCTTGAAATACATAAAATAAAAATATTGATCAGAGCCCGTACTTTAAATATCCTAGGAAGATGCTGATGCTTGGATGTGGCCTTCTGCATCCTGGTCCAGATCTACCATAATAATTCAAAGATTCCCAGATGCCAAGAACTTTCAATAGGGGATGGGCTATTGGAGCAGTTACGCCATATCAAATTTCAACTACCATCTTATGTATAGTTACAGGTAGGTAGCCATGTTGGTCTGCAATAGTCGAAACAAAACAAAACAAATTAAATTTTAAAAAAAATTTTAAAAATTCCTTCCAGTAGCACCTTAGAGACAAACAAAGTTAGTTACAGTGGTGCCCCGCAAGACGAATGCCTCGCAAGACGGAAAACCCGCTAGACGAAAGGGTTTTCCGTTTTTGAGTTGCTTCGCAGGACGAATTTCCCTATGGGCTTGCTTCGCAAGACGAAAATGTCTTGCGAGTCTAGAGATTTTTTTTTCGCTTCCCCCCCCCTTTATCTAATCTGCTAAGCCTTTAATAGCCTTTAATAGCCTTTTAGCAGCTAATCCGCTAAGCCTTTAAGCCTTTAATAGCCGCTAAACCGCTAATAGCGCTAATCCGTTAAGCCGCTAATAGGGTTGCTTCGCAAGACGAAAAAACCGCTAGACAAAGACTCTCGCGGAACGGATTAATTTCGTCTTGCGAGGCACCACTGTATTGGTATGAGCTTTCATGTGCATGCACACTTCTTCAGACACGAAAGCTCATACCAATAACTAACTTGTATTGTATTGTTTAGTTGTTTAGTCGTGTCCGACTCTTCATGACCCCATGTACCAGAGCACGCCAGGCACTCTTGTCTTCCACTGCCTCCCGCAGGTTGGTCAGACTCATGTTTGTAGCTTCGAGAACACTGTCCAGCCATCTCGTCCTCTGTCGTCCCCTTCTCCTTGTGCCCTCCATCTTTCCCAACATCAGGGTCTTTTCCAGGGAGTCTTCTCTCTCATGAGGTGGCCAAAGTATTGGAGCCTCAGCTTCAGGATCTGTCCTTCCAGTGAGCACTCAGGGCTGATTTCCTTAAGAATGGATGCGTTGATCTTCTTGCAGTCCATGGGACTCTCAAGAGTCTCCTCCAGCACCATAATTCAAAAGCATCAATTCTTCGGCCATCAGCCTTCTTTATGGTCCAGCTCTCACTTCCATACATCACTACTGGATAATTAACTTAGTTGGTCTCTAAGGTGCTACTGGAAGGAATTTTTTTATTTTATTTTATTTTTTTTATTTTATCTTATGTAAGTCCCATTGAGCTGCATAGCTCAGTTGATTAGAGCATGGTGCTGATAATGTCAAGGTTGCAGGTTCAATCAGCTGAATATTCCTGGGTTTAACATAAGAACAGCCTGTAGCATCAGGCCAATGGCCCATCTAGTCCATTCCTCCCAATATACACACTTTTGTATGCAATTTTGCTTAATATACACTGTTTCTGCAAATCATTTTTTCTTAAATTTCTAACGAACTCAATTTTATCCACATATCACACCACTGACAGTGCATTTTTGTGCCTTTTTTTTTGTCAGAGACCTGCATCCTACAATTCAAAGAAATAGCTGCGTTCCAGTTCACATCTTGTTTCAGAAAGTGTGATTAAATAGTTTCCCATTAAAACATGAACCAAGTCAAATTTCTCCCTTCTGTACGGTGGCCAATGGAGAAAAATTCGGCGGTGTTTATTACTGCACCTGAAATAACTGATATGAGGATGGAGATCACATACAATGCTGTGTATTTAAAATGAAGGCGGGGGGACGGATAGCCCACAACACATTTGTACAACAGCTTGTTTACATTCCATCTCTCAGTTCCCACCTGGCTATAATTTCTTCATGCGCAGCCAAGGAAACGGGGAAACGGCATCTGCGCTCGTGGAGTTCTTCCGATGAAGACACTCTGCCAGCTGCCAAGTTCGAGAAACTTAGTGCTATCTTTATTACAGCCAGTTTTCAGCTAATTGTATAGTTATGGTAATAGTGCCCTCCAGAGGAATTTTTAAGGAATTAGCATCTGAGAAGACGCTAGGCTGAAAAACGCCGTGTGTTTTTAAGTACCACTGCCGTTGTTAAAGCACTGGGCCTTTCTGTCCTGTAAGATGCTGTTGTCACGGAAGCAGAAACACAGATTTAGGTCGGATTTATCAGACAGCCCCTCCATTTGACTGGAAGCATCAAAAGAGCTTTCAGCTGTAGGACTCCAGTTCTCCACCAGCAGCATTCCTTATATTTCCATGCATAGGCTTAACTGCAGTTGTGTGTTTGATCCAATAGAATTTATTTTTCCAGACTATTGGTCCTCATAAAACTGTAATTTGATATACAGCAGGGGGCTTAATGTTATGTACTGAAGTTCTCACCCTGGGCCAGCAGGGGGATACTGTAGATAGTTCAGGTTCACATATGCAAATAAGGGATCGAAAGTGACGTTCAGTGATTGGATAGTTACAGAAAGTTGTTACAGTTACGTTGTACTGGAGCTCTATATAAGCAGGCTGGCTGAACCCTTCAGTTCAGTTCTGTTCTGGCCTCTGAATAAACAAGAGCTGTTTGAAGAATCACTGTGTCGTCTGATATGTTCACCCACAACTTAACACTTAATAACTTCAATCTCAGGGAGTCAAATGAAGCATCCCAACTATCTCTATCTGGCCTTTGAGACGGTCCCCAGGCCAGACGCCCTGTCCCCAGGCTACAGCCTTCACTGATCCTGTTCCAAGCCATCTCTGAGTGTTTATGCCTGACTGGAATGTGCCCTTCAGCTCTGATAAAGCCATTCACTTGCTTTAGGCATGGGTGTGAGTTTCATGGGTGAAGACATAGGAGGGAGCATAATGCTCTTGTAGAACAGCCTTCCTAGGTAAGCCTGGTACCTGCCAGACCTTGCTAGACAATAACTCATCCATCATGCCTGACCATTGGACATGCTGATGGGATGTGGAGTTCAACAACTTCTGGACTGATCAAGCAAAGCTAACAAACTCATGAATCTGCCTTATGCTGAGGCAGACTATTGGTTCATCAAGCTGAGGACGGTCTCTTCTCTAGCAGATCTCTAGGGTCACAGGCAGAGCTCCTGCCCTCATCATAGTGCCTCCTGCCTGGAGATACCAGTGATTCATCTTAATACCAGTGATTCATCTCATGCAGAGCATGTCTTCTACAATTAACGTATAGCCCCAGTCCAAAGGATATGGAATCCCGCTCAGGCTTCTGGTCTTTGGCAATGCCATCTTGAAATGTCTAATGGTCTTAAGTAATGAAAATCCTTATGGTATAAGGTCGTAGCATTCTCTCTTTATTCATGTGTTTGGAAGGGAAATATTGGCTTGAATACATGCTCAGATTTCCCCCTCCCCCCTTTCAACGTAGCAAAATTTGTTCTCCATCAGTCTGCAGATCTCTCGACAGGTTGTAGGACTGTATATTACTTTGTTTATTCCAGGCTAATCGCCTCATTAAAGTCATTTATGTGAAAAGTACACTGTAAACTATTCTTACATGACATAATGTAGGGAAAGGATAATTAAAAGGAAATTGTAAACATTTGCTGGCACAGAGAGATGGAGTTGGTGAGAATCCAAATTAGTTCTATCTTAGTTGTCTTGTATTTTCTTCTGCATCAAAGAGAAGTGCTCTGGGTGGGCCAAGCTGACTTTAGCATAAGACAGACATAGGCAAACTCAGCCCTCCAGATGTTTTGAGACTACAATCCCCATCATCTCTGACCACTGGTCCTGTTAGCTAGGGATGATGGGAGTTGTAGTCCCATAACATCTGGAGGGCTGAGTTTGCCTATGCCTGGCATAAGGTCTACAGGGGCCAGGGGGTAGATGGAAGCAGTGGTTCAAATCCCATATAATTCCTATTCTCAAACAGTTGCAGTGCCTGGCAACTATCTCCAGGGTCCATTTGCTGACATTCATCTTCCACATTGTCCTGGGCCGCAAATATTTGTGAGAATGCATTTTTCTATATCACCCTGCTTGGGTATCAAAATTGATGGAAGAGACTTCCCTGGTAGTTCCTGTGTTAAATGAAGTGTGTAGTGCAGAAACTCCTAGAAAGCCTTTTTAGTGGTGGCTCCACATCTGTGGAGTGACCTCCCTATTGTGGTGTACCTTGGCCCAACTCTTTCAGACGCCACCTTTTCTGCAAAGCTTTTAATGATCAATGGGTTATGTTGTTTTTATGGTGTATGTTGCAGCATTTACGTGATTTGTGAAAATTATTTTAATGCTATTGTGTATTATGCATTTTGCTTGTATATTATTCAACCCACCCTGTGGCCATTTCTGGTGAAGTGTGGACAGAAGTCTCTTAATGAAAAAATGTATGAAGTCCCTCCAAAATCACATGGGACATGCTTTGGGAGAAATTTGTTTTAGTTTGCATTTTCATGTGAACTTACCAACTTCGCATTTCCCAGAACATTCTGTGAATCAAAGCATGCCTATCCTTCAAAATTCACAGTTTTCTAAACTTTCAGATGTACTTCTCCACAAAAAATGTATGTATTAGGGAAAAGGTATGCATAGTGAAAATACTAGGAGAAAGTACATACAAAAATGGGTAAATTAAAAGAAACGTGCATCTGAAAGGCTGATTTTTTGTGATTTTTTTTTAAAAAAGCAAAATGATGTAGAAATGGGGGGAACGGGAAACAGGAAAAATGAGAAACTGAAATAAACGGATTTGTCTATTCCTAGCTATACTCTATGAGCCAGCAGAGCATAACCTCAAAGTGGGGGGTGGAGATTGTAATGTACAGAAGGAAGAATTTTCCCCGATACTTTGGGCTCTGGCTACAACTCTTGGATGTGGGTTCAGCACCTTAGGCTGCATGAATTCCACCCTCTGAAATGAGAAAGCGATCTGGAGGAATGAACCAAGGATACTTTACATGCCCTGTAGAGCAGGGATGGAGAACCTCAGGCCCCAAGTGGAAAATGTGGACATCCAGCCCTCTTAAATGAATGAAACTTTATTTGTATCAGTCATAGCAACAAAAAAAACCCCCAACAACATTGTGATATACACAGAACAAAGTAAAAAGTCAGTTATATAAAACACAGTTTAGGGTCCTGAATCAGTAGTCAAATAGTGGACCTTATTCTGATTGCCCCAGCTAGAAACCTTGCAACCTTTGCAGTCACCTGCTCCTCTTGATCTGCCAGGAGAAACGACACTGTGGCAGTGGTTGGGTGACCTGGAATGATCAATAAAAGAGGCGTGATAATCTTGTTCCTCAGGACTTTATAAAGAGTGCATGCAAGGAGGTCATTCACCACTGATTCGGTGCTGCCATCTCCACAGGAACATAAGCATTTTCCATATGGAATCTGTTGGAATCGTCCCTCAAGTACAGCCGAGGTCTGTCCAGCCCTTGGAAATCTTGGAAATCTTCCCCCTCACCAACCCAGAATGTCTTTGCCTGGCTGGTGTGTCTTTCAACCTTGATAACTCCTCTTGCTTATCTGGATGAAAGATAGGGAGGGGTTTGTGAGTGTGCACAGAAACTATCCTACTGTATGAAAGGTAAAATTTACATTCTGTCCACATCTTCCTCTTGCCCTGCCCATTCTTGGCATGTGGCCTCCAGAAAGCTGCCTAGAAGAGATTGCAGCCCTTGGGTTTCCTATCTCTCCTATGGTGGGATGGATACCTCGGGATTATCAGTTCCTTCTTTCATAAAACCACCTGGTTGTATAGTTGGAAATCATAGAATTGTGTAGTTGGAAGGGGTCAAATTAATGTACCTTTTCTTGGATGTCACAGGAGCTGTTCAAGTAACTGAGCTGAGAGTTCAGAATGCTTCCTTTCAGGCCAGGGTCTTGTGAATTTCCCTACTCAAAGCATCCCCTCTGCTTACACTGAAGTTTTTTTGCACTAGAGAGGAAGAGGGAGGCAGTGTGAACTTCTTCACACATTACACTGAACACAGGCACAAGCTGTCTCTACACATGGACAAGTGTTTGCATGAAAGAGTGTAAACCTTTACTTTTTCTCCCTTAACTCTCAGCTGTCCTCAACAAACAAGGGATATTCACACACTAAAGTACAGCTCAGTTACTGTGTACAGAAGTATACAAACAGCACACTCATTGAATAGGATGTGAATAAGCGTTAGGGATGAAAGGAACTGTCACTTTCTGTTCTCTCAGTTTCTCCTTTTTTCCAATCTTAAATTAAGTTCACCACCTTTTGCAGCAGTTTTTGCATATATATATATATTTTTTAAAGCCTCATGAAAATTTGTGAGTTTTTAAGTGTGAATTTCTCCTAGCACATTATTCTACTCTGTTTTGACTAACATACACATTTTTTCAGGCAATATAAT